CTTCTCGAAGTGATGTGCCGGCAATTGGTGTAAAACGAATGGCGGTGGTTTCTTGATCAAGGATGTAGCCCGGGCGTGCAAGACTGTGATGCTTCTCCTACGCGATGTGGCCGATTTGAAATCTTGATTTTCTCACTTCCCTTTTCTTTTCCGCCTTGGCGGAATATTCGCCATTTCCTTTCGAGTTTTCAGTGGCACACGACCAGCTTTTTATTTATTCCATCCACTCATTTAATTGGGTGTTGGCTCCGGAGCTGGCCAGCTCGGCGGTGTACCTCGCCTTGTCCGCTGCGGCCATGGCTTCATAGCGCTGGAGTGGGGCGAACAGAAGTCAGTGAGATAAATACAAACATTTCAAGATCGAGAGGCACTAATACCGCTCTCTGCGCTTGTGGCATGTCTTTCCAGGCCTCGCCCATGAGCTTGAGGATGTCGGTCATGCCCGCGTCGGGATTCTGCGCCTTGAAGGTTTCCCTCTCCTCCTGGCAGAAGCACAAGTACGAGCTGAGCGGCTTCTTCACTTTCTCAGCCGACATGATACACTGTTTTTCCTCTGCCGCTTGGCCGATTTTTGTGTGTTTTAAAGCCCTTAATTTGTGCCTGGAAAACCATTTCAGTTCATTCTCTGAGCGAGCACCAATCGTGCAGCTCGAAAGTCGGCAAGAAAGAAAAAGAAAAGAAAAAAGATGGCAAAAGGAAAAAAGAGGGACAGAGAGCAGAAGGAGGCGAAGCAAAGGAAGAGACAATGAGCGAGGAGCGGTCGTCGAGATCCTCTGCATCGGGGAGGGAAGACCGGCATCGAAGCAGGGACGACGACAGAAGCAGTGAGCGGAAGCGAGACCGCGATCATGACCGCGATCGGGCCAGAGATCATCACAGCAGACATCGATCCAAGCGTGATTCCTCCTCAGGTGCGCCGTCCTTTGTCGAGCTCTCCTCTTTCTTTCATCTTTATATCACCTTCATTGTAAATTAGTAAATGATGTGCATTTATATTGACTGCTTGGCGCGTGTAGAGGATGAAAGGGACAAGAAGCGGCGCAAGCACCACAAGAAGGACAAAAGGGACAAGAAGGAAAAGCGAGACAAGAAGGAGAAGAAGAAAGACAGGAAGTCTTCATCTTCCTCCTCTTCATCATCAAAGAAGGACGAGAAGCGCAGGGAACTCGAAGAGCAAGCCAAGGCCTTCCTACAGAGTACTTCCCTTCTTCTCCTCCAACCCCGCCGACGCCACAACAGCGTTTGACTGACGTGTCGTGTGTGTCGTGTCTGCCGTGCGTGTCGTGTGTTCGGTGTGTGTCGTGTGGTTCGTTGGCCTGCAGAGAACGCGTCGATGGGCGAGGCGACGGCGGTGCTCACCGACAGCGACTACTTTGCGCGCCACGCCGAGTTCAGCCTCTGGCTGAAGGAGGCCAAGGGCCTCTTCTTCGAGGACCTCTCGGCCTCCAAGTCGCGCAAGAAGTTCGCCAAGTTCGTCGAGCTGTGGAACCGCGGCTCCTTGCCAGGTGCATCTCATCATCCGTGTGCGGTGTGTGCGGTGTGTGCGGTGTGTGCTCACACGGTCACATGCAGACAAGTTCTACAAGGGCATAAGCACGCAGGATCTGGAGCACAACACCCGCACGGGCTACCAGTGGGGCTTCACCAACAGGATCGACGAGAAGGAGGCACTCACTCTCAGCTCCAGTACGTCATCATCGTCAGCGTCCTTGCTGTTGTTATTCTTATTTGTTATTATTTGTTTTATTATTTTATTATTTTATTTATTTGTTATTTGTTCTGTCGCTCATGCGTCTGGGGTGCAGTGCGCGATGAGATCTCCCGCGAGACGAACCGGCCCAAGGGCGCTCGACCGCCGCCGCGCCGGCCCGCCTCGACTTCCATGGCCGCGCCTTCTCCGTCTACGCGCGGTCCATCTGGTCCGGCCGTCAAGCACCCCGACGACGAAGGTACACGCGCTCCCCTTTTTAATTTATATGTATTAATATAAATTAAATAAGTAAAAGAATTTGAAAGCCCAAAATCAATTATTTAGAAAACATTGATTTCTTTATTTAATAGAACTCGACGATGAGGACAAGCGGCGGTATGACCGGTTGATGCGCAAGAAGCAGGAGAAGAGCGCACAAAGCTACAGGGAAGCCGTCATGGTACGGCTGGCGATTGGCGCGTGTGTCGTGTCGTGTGCGATGTGTGCGGTGTGATGCTGACGGGAAGGCACAGGAGGAGCTGGTGCCCAAGGCCGACCCGGGCAGCAGAGAAGCGCGGCTCGAGAAGCAGAAGCAGAAGGGCGCCTACGCCAAGGGCCGCGAGGACTCGCCCGAGATCAACGAAAGCGATCTCATGGGCGGCGGCGACTCCTTCAAGGACAGGTTCGCACACGCACACGACACACAGCACACGCGCAGCCCTTTACACACCTTCTAGAGCTTTCCGTCACTGACACCGCACACGACACACGACACACACCGCATGTGCGCACACGCGACAGGCTGCGCCGGCAGCAGGAGTGGCGGTCGAAGAAGGACAGCGCGCGGTCGGAAGAGGCCCAGAAAAAGCTGGCCGCCCACCAGGCCAAGGAGGACGCCGTCATGCAGCAGTTCCGCAACTTGCTCGCCCAGCGCGGACCACCACAGCTGTGAGCGATCATGATCGCTCACCACCACTACAACCACAACAATGGTCCTATTCACATCTTCTTTATCATCATCATCTTCATCGCTATTGTGTCGTTCATGAGCTCACTTGGCCTTTCGAGCGATGCTGTTACGTTTCTTGTTGAGGATGTCGAGCTCGGCCTTGATCTTCTGCTCGTTCTTCTTGTTGCTGCTGCTGCTGACCTTGTTCTTGTTGGGCTTGATGTTGTCCGCCGAGCGCGCACCGGCCTTGTTCCGCCCCTGGGTCGCCGCAGCCGCCCGAAGAGTTTCCTCGCGCACCAGGATGTTATTGCGCAGCACCTCCACCTGCTTCTTCAGCAGCTTCTTGTTGAAGGTCTTCATCGCGCCCTCCTTGTCCGCCGCCGCAGAGCTGGTCGTGGTGAACGACGCCCCGTAGCCGCTGGCGTCACGCCTGGCCTTGAGCGCAGCCGCAGCGGCCTCGGCTCGCTCGCGCTTCTCGCGCTCCAGCTCCCGCTCGAGCGCCAGCTGCTTGGCCCGCCTCTCGCGCTCGCGGGCCTTCTCCAGGAGCTGGCGCTTCTCCTCGGCGATCTCGCGCTCGCGCTCGGCCTGGGTGTGGACGTGCTCGCCCGTCTCGTCCTCCTCCCGCTGTCGCGCGTCGTGCTGATGCTCATGGCTCTCACTCTCACTCTTGCCCGCCAGCTCCTCCATCTCCACTTCCCCTTCTCCTTCCTCCTCGACTGCTTCTTCTTCGACCTCGTTCGCTTCGCCCTCAGGCTGCTCGTAGTCTTCGTTGTACTCGCCGTACCTCCCCTCCTCCTCCTCTTCACCCCCACCACCATCCTGCCCTTCTTCCTCCTGGTACTGCGCTTCCTCCTCGTACTCTCGGTCTTGTTCTTGGCCTGCGTAGTACTCCTCGTTGCCTTCCCCCTCCTCATACGTCCCCTCTTCGTACGTTTCCTCCCCAACCTCGGTGCCCTCTTCCGCCACCACCTCGTACTCTTCTGTCGGCACCTCTTCGTCGGCTCCTCCTTCTTCTTCTGCAACGACTTCTTCGAGTAGTAGCGGCTCGTCGGGCGTGGGTTCTTCGGGGGCCTGGGCAAAGGCGTAGCCGGGGTGGCCCCCCACGCCCGAGCCGATCATGACGTACTCGTGGCCCGTCTCGAGCATCAGCTCCACCCGCTTCTGCTCCTCCTCCCACTGCCGCAGGAGCTGCTCCTTCTTCTTGAGCTCCTCCTTGCTCCGCCGCAGCTCCTCGAACGCGCGGCTGCGGCCTCCTCCTTCTTCTTCTCGGCCGCGCGCAGCTTGATCTCGGCCTCGCGCCGCCGCAGCTCCTCCTCGCGCTTCTGGAGGGCGGCCTCGATAGTGCGGATCTCGGCCTCCTCCTCGGCCCTCTGGAGGTCCTCCTTGCGCCGCCGCTCCTCGGCCTCCTTGCGCTTCATATCGTCGATCTTCTTCTTGAGCTCGGCCTCCTCCCGCTTGCGCTTCTCCTCCTCGCGCCGCCGCAGCTCCTCCTCCTTGAGCTTGAGGCTCTCCCGCCCGCGACGCAGCTCCTCCTCGAGCAGCTCCGTCGTCAGGTCGTCGTCCTCTCGTCCGCTGCTACTCGACTTGACCGGCTTCATGCCGACGTCGGGCTTCTTGACAGGCATCGACGATTCTTGGGTCGATGACGACGATGATGACGACAATGATGACTTTGTTGGCGCCGAGGCTGGGGCTGGAGGGTCGTTGTTGAGCACAGAAGCTGTAGAGGCCTGGGCGTGCGCCACGGCCGGCGAGAACTGTGGGGCACGACACGACACGCACGACAGAACGCAGTTAGGCGGAGCTGAAGGAAGTGGAATGAAAAGAGGTGGGGGTGGGGGTGGGCGGTGCCTTGATGGTGGTGGAGCCGTGGGTGTTGGGGGCTACTGGTCCCGGGAGCTGGGACATGTAGAAGAAGGTGAAGCCTATCAGGCCAAAGAGGACCAACAGCATGAGACCCATCCGCTTGTTCTTGTCCAACACAGGTACGCCATGACTGCTTTAAGAGCAAAGAAGAAACAAGATGTAAGCTTAGATTCATCAATCGATCTGATCTGACAACAAGATGACTACCTCTTGAGATCGATTCGCATGTGATCTTCTTCGTCTCGCTGATGATGATGAGGCTGGCTGTGGTAGTTGGGATGAGGATGAGGATGAGGATGATTGGGAAAGAAGGGGAGAGGAGAAGGGGACTGGGGTAGAGCGGAGCAGTTGTTGTTGATGATGTTGGGAGGAATCAGGGGCGAGAGCGGAGGGAAGAAGTTGTGTGGGGTGAAGGGCGGCGAGGGCGGCGGTGAGTGATCGCCTCCGGAGGTTGCCGTGGCCGGCGGTCCTTCGCTCCCCGTTCGTTGATGCATTCCCATCGAGAGAAGAGATAGATAGAACTGGAAGAAGAAGAAGATGATGATGAATGATGTCTTTACAAATAAATAATAATAAGCAACGTGTGAACTCGGATAAGTCTTGGCTAGCAATTGTGTTCCATAAACCAAGATTCGAAGAGAGTCAGGCTGTTGAGAAGAGGAAGAAGGAAAGCTGATGAGTCGGTCGGTGGCGGTCCTTGTCTTGCACGCGAAAAGACAAGAAATTTGTCGACTTACCATTTACAAAACCACGCTTCCCTTATTTGGGTTGCGGAATAAAATACAATAGAATAAAACTGATCAAACAAATAATAAATAAATAATTTATGTGTTGTGTACAGCAAGGAGCGCCAGCAAGCTATGTGCAAGAGAGAGAGAGAGATAAGAGAGGAAGACAAAAGAAGAGGAGACTTAGCCTTCGATGTCGTCATGGTCGGTGGTCGAGATGAAGTGGTTGCGCCCCTCGGCCTCCTCGAACGAGGGATCGATGACAAGCCGCCCCGCGGGTCCAGTCTGGGTGTGCCTCAGCGTATCGCGCACGGTCGCTTTGACTGCACGCAACCCTCTGCGTCGTCAGTCGGACATCCGCTCAGTGCTCTAATGCTCTCATCACACGCACACGCCGTGTGCGCACAACGCGTGTGTGTGTGCGGTGCGGTGCGTGCGAGCAATAAGAGGAGATGGTACCATTGATCTTGAGGAATGCAGCCACGTCTCCCTTCTGTTTGAGCAGCTTGTTCTTGAGCCGATTTAGCCGGTGTTCGAGCAGCGCCAGTCTGTCCGATTCCATGCTCACCAGTTCTTCCACTGCATGCCACCAACACGCCACAGTGATGGTCATCGTGTGTGCGCTCGTGTTGTGTGCGAGCTTGTTGTGTGTGTGTGGTGTACCTGTGGGGTTGCGTTCTTCGACGGGCTTGACAGCATTCTCCTGCAGCCACGCGCCGAGCTCAGACTGACGCGAGCGCAATATGAGCTCCTGCGTTTGTACGCGGCTGAGGTCGTCATCGATGCTGTGCAGCTCGCTCCGGGCCAACTCCAACTGCTCCATATTCTCAGTCTGCATGTATTCGGAGTAGTACTTCTGCACGTTCGACACCCATTTCGTGCCGACGAAGAAATCCGAGAACGCGTCCAGCAATGTCTTGGTTCTCTGGTGCCATCCATGCATTCGCCTCATTAGCACGCAATCGTGAAACGATTTGGAGTTGAAACGGAAATTTGGAGACGGATAATCTCAAATCTTAGATGAAAACAGCTCGCAAAATAAGTAGTAGGAAAGGTACCTGTGGTGAGGGGGCTGTTGTGGTTGTGGTTGCGGGCTTCTTGTAGAATTCTGAGTCCTCCACCGACGACACCACCAGAAGAAAGTAGAATAGCGGCACCACTAGCGCCAGATGCATCTCGTTCCGCTACAAGGCCTCCTCCGGCTTGCAAGAACTACGACGTACCGTACCACTCCGGTAATCAATATATCAACACAAGTGCCGATCGACTGCCGCAGCGGTGGCTTGGCTCGCTACCGCGTTTTTGTTCTGTGCGGTGGCGCGCTCTCATTGGGCCACGCAGCTGCACATGCGTCGACACCACTCGAAAAAAGAAATGAGAAAAGAAAAGGCAAAACAATGTCACGTTGTCTCTGCATTTACCTTTTATGCGTAAATTCAATTCCGCGCAACTAATTATTTTATTTGTTTGGAAAATAAATTATTAAAAAACTAGAGATTTGGAGAGGTGGCCTTGCGTTCGACCTTGAGCGACCCTGTCCGGGCCAGCCCACCGGAGCCGGTGCTGCCACCCCCGAACATCTTCAGCCGGTCCTGGAAGGAGGCACCGCGCGGTCTGCCCGTGGTGGTGTCTTGTTCACTCGTCGGCGTAGAGGAAGAAGACGAAGATGAAGATGAAGATGAGGAAGAGGACAGGGACGGAGAAGAGGAGGAGTGTTGGGGAGTGTGGGGTTGTTGTGTTGCCTCTGCCCTTCGACTGCTGCCTCGCGCTTTGCCGTTGATGGTTACGGTGGTCGTGCTCGTGATGTCGAGGCCGCCGCTGTCGTTGTCAGAGTCACGCGGGCTCTTGGAGATCTGAACAGCCGACGATGCGAGCGACGACGCTGACGATGGCGACGATGACGACGACGAAGAGGGAGCAGGGGCGTGCGTGCTGGTGCCCCTGTTGGATTGGAAGTTCTTGGGCAGGCTGAGCGTCCATCGCTTGCGCGTGGGCGAGTTGCGCGACGCGGGCGTGGTGCTCGAGCCGGCGCTGACGGGCGAGGTCGCCGGCGAAGGCGACGGCGTCATGACCGGCGATCGCGGCGAGGCCAGCGGTGAGGCCGTGCTGTTGGCGGGCACCCAAGGGGAGTTGACCGGCGAGCCCGGGTGCGAGGTGCGCGGCGACACGCTGGGCGAGAGCGTGGGCGACGACGAGATGGCCAGCGGCGACGAAGCGCGCGGGGAGTGCGCCGTCGGCAGCAAGTGCTGCTTGTGGCCGCTCGACGCGGACGTCAGCAGAGAGGGCGACGACGTGCGCAGCGGGGTGTTCTTCGAGCCGTGGTGGTAGGCGGTCCAGGCCGGCGGAGGGCTGGAGGCCGAGGAGGAGAGCGACGCAGAGATGGACGACGACGAGGAGGAAGAAGGCGAAGGCGAGGAGGAAGAGGAGGAGAGCGGAGAAGAGACGAGGCCGTTGGTGGGGCTGATGGGCGAGGAGGGCAGCCGCGGCCGGAGGAGCGGCGAGCAGGGCGCCGAGGTGCTGGGAATGGGCGAGCGCCGGGGCGACACCTGATCGCTCACGTCGGAGTAGCGTCGCTGGATGGGGGTGTTGTTGGCTGACGTGGTCGGTGGAGAGGTCGGCTGTGGCGTGCGTGGCGATATGGGTGGCGTGCCAGTAGGCGTCGCTGTCGTCGAATCTAATTCGCATCCACAACCACGTATTGTTATTATTGCTGTTCTGTTGTTTGTATGAATTGGGTGGTGTCGACGTACTGCTGCGAGACCGGGGCGAGTTGATGACCTCAATGTTGAGGTCCTTGAGGTTCATGCTGTTGGTCGAGCTGTAGCCCGAGAACAGATCCTCGGTCGACTTCTGCCGCAGCTTGGCCAGCTCCAGCATCCCGATCCGCGGCTTGGGTTTCGCTGCGGCGGCCGTGGTGCCCGGCTCCCACTTGTTGGGCTCCTCCTTGCTACGGGGCGAATCGACGGACCGCTTGCCGAGCATCCCGCCGCCCGGCGGGCGGATGAACGACCCCGACGGCTCGTCGTCGGTGTCGAAGCTCTTCTCCATGTCCTCGGCGATCGTGCTCGCCGAAGTCTGGAAGTGCGTCGAACGCGCTGTAATCAAAGAACACACGACACACGACACATACGTGAGTGAGTGGTTCATGCGCGTTGATCCTTCGTGTGTGGCACGCGCGCGGGGGGGAGCCTACCTTCAAAATAGGAGGTGTCCTGCTCGTCGGCCAGCTTGGGCACGAAGGGCATCTTCTGGGTCAGGATCAGCTCCCAGTTGATGTCGGCGAAGAAGGGGTGGGCCTTGATCGCGGTGGGGCCGGGCCGATGCTCCGGGTCCAGCGTGAGCAGCTTGTCGATGAGGTCCTTGGCCTCGGGCGACATGCCCTCCTCGGGCCAGTTGACATCTGATGAGGGTGGTGGCGGTGTCACAGCTTTGGGATTGAGTGCCCAACGTCGTGCACGCAATCGACAAACGAGAAGGGGGGGGGAAATAGCAACGGTACCCCGGTTGAGAATGTTCTGGAATATCTCTTCTGGCGTGTCGCCTTTGAACGGAGGGATGCCCACCAGCAGCTCGTAGAGCACCACACCCAGGGACCACCAGTCGACCGGGAAGCCTACGGGGAAAGTTGAAAATATATATATATATATTAACAATTGTAGGAACAACATAATATATATATAATATATATAAAAACATGATAATGGAGGGTGGGATAGCGTACTGTGGCCGTTGCCGGAGAGGATTTCGGGGGCGAGATAGTCCGGGGTGCCAACCACCGAGAATCGCTTCTCCTCTTCCGGGGTGTCCTTACCGTACGAACTGCCCAACAACGCCTGCGCGACGGGAAATCATGAGACGCCGCGCGACTCGCCACAGAGGCGCGGCTGAACAGCTGAAAGGGAAAGGGAAAGGAAACGATACCCTCTCAGCTTCGTCCATGTCGATGAGTCGTTGGCTCTGCTTCTTGTCTCCCGACACTGACATGTGACCATAGCCGCCGCATATGATCAGCAAACGGTTTTGGGTGTCGTGGAGTGGACCACACGTACGATAGAGGCCGGCGCGACTCAGTCCGAAGTCGGTCAGCTTGACGCGCCCCTCTTCCGTGATCAACAGATTGTCCGGCTAGAGGAATAATATAAATATAGTAGGAATATATATAAAAAATAAATAATACATAAATATATAAAAGAAAGAAATATACGTTAGCATTGCACGTGATGCCCAGAAAAATTGAAAAGCAAGCAAGCCAGCAGCGCACCTTCAAGTCACGATGAACGATCCCACTGGCGTGCAGATACTCCAGCGCGAGCACTGTCTCTGCTATGTACACTTTCGCCACCTCCTCTGAGAGAGCTCCCATATTTTCTAGCAGTGAAAATAGATCTCCGCCCCGAATGAACTCCATCACCTGGGTTGTTGGTGTGGCCATCAGGCGCTGCTGTCAGTCACCTCACCACCACGGCCCACGCAGAAGGTGGCGCCAACGTACCAGATAAAGGTTCTTGCGCGTATGAAAGGAATAGTAGAGCTTTACAAGGAAGGGGTTGTGGATGGAGGAGAGAATCGACTGTTCCAGTTTCACTCGATCGACTTGATTCTAATGAAAGTAATGAAATGAAATGAAACACGCGCGCGATGAAGAGGTCAGTCCCGACATAGTGTAGTGGTGAACATTATGGGAACAAGCGGGTCTTTGAGCACCTTTTTGATCATCTCTGCTTTGGACATGACCTTGATGGCGTACATGTCGCCCGTCTTCTTCTTTTTGGCCAAATAGACGCGCGCGAAGCCACCGCGCGTAATCGGCTTAATGAACTCGAAGTCGTTGATCGTAAGATTCAACACGCTCCCTGCATTACGTACAAACAAGTGAAGGAAAGGGCATGGTTGGTGCAACAAATAAATAAATAAATAAATGCAAATAAAAGGCCTGAGGCGTACGATGCAACTTCATGGCCGAGGCATTGGGCGACAGCGTGGTCTTGGGGGCTTTCGAGGCATCCGTGAAGGCGGCGATCTTGTTGGAGAGGTACAGGTGTACGTCCTCGTAGATTCTTCGGTGAGACACATTCGACTTGATGTGCACCCTGCCACGACGGAACGCAATTTTAACGTTAATCGTTAGCTTCTGGCTGGAGAATGTGGGTGGGAGTTGTGTACTCAGTCTGTTCGATCTTAGCTCTGAGGCCAAGGAGATCGTCCACAGATTCCCAGCAGTGGATGGAGAGTTCGATGAGCATCTTGTACTGTTCGTTGAAGCGGAGGTCCTCTTCAGAGAGATACTGCAGTGGATCGGCGTCTGGCGGTATGGCACGCTCCTTGAGGATGCGCTTGAGCAGTTTTTGTGATAACTGAAATAAACAAACCCAGTAAGTAAATAAATAAACGAGAGTATTAGCTGCACCGTTTGAGGAAAGAGCGAAAGCGGAGAGAAAGCGAAAGAGGCGGAACGATACCTCGTTCATTTGCTTGTCGCTTTCAAAGGCCGTGATCGCGCACTCTCGGATGTATGTACACTCCTCTGAGTGCACGACCATGTGCGCGAGGGTAACCACTTCCTCGCATATGCGACATACGACCTGTTCGTCTTTGACTTCCTCTTGCGCGAATCTGCAGGGCACAGCGGCACGATGTTGGCGAAAGAACCAAGACTCATTGGGGGGGGGGTCATGGCAAGGTCGTACATTCGCTCGATCGAGTCCTGGCGCTTGAGCTTGGGGGTCTCTGGCTGTTGGGCAGACGAGCAGTAATCCTGACATACAAATATAGGTTAGGTTGGCCCGGCCGAAGAACACCGGTGATGGCGCGAGCTTACCATGCCCTCGAGAGCCCGCTGGCGATTGGCCACAATGGCGAGCAGATTGGTGCCCATTTTCTTGACCGATGGACTGCAAATGCGGGGCACCTGCAGCCCTTGGATTTGTGATAGCAGTGATCGCGTTCCCTGGCGAAAATGAAAAGAGCGCGCGCGACACGACATGTACAGCAGCAGCAGCAGCAGCAGCACAAGAGGAATGTTCAGCGTTAGAAGAAGAAGCGGAATGGAGACGCCAAGCGCGAGCTATGAATGCTGTGAGTACCTCTTTGCCCAGTTCTATGAAGGCCTGCTCGGCCTGTAGCGCGAGGCTCTTGAGAAGTTCGAGGTACGACCGTTCGGCCACCGAGCTGGTTCCGTGTATGAGGGGATCGAAGCTCTTCAGCAGCGTGCCCAGGTCCTCCTTCGAGCGATCAAACCTCTTCCCCATTCGCTTGTTGAGCCTTAAGAAGGAAAGGAATGAAATGGAGAAGGTGAAACGTGGACACCGCCCTGAAGTCAGTGTGCGTGTCCGTCGTGCACTCTTGTAGAAGAGAGAGGACTCATGGTCCGAGGGTGAGGAGACGACGAGGAGGAGGGACGCACTCTGCGAACATATCCGGGCCGGTCTTGAGTGCAGTATCCAGCACCTTCTGAAGCTCGGCCGTGCAGGTTTGGCATAGCACCTGCGTGGGGAGAAGCGCAACGTTGATTTGATTTAATTGATGTGAAAGAAGGAAGAAAAGGAGCGTGAATTGGACATGATTCACAGGGAATGGGGTTACCTCGTCGTCGATGCGGGCGAAGCCAGATGTGGTGATGGGCTTCTTGCAGGTATGGCAGACGAAACAGGCTGAGTGCCAGAAGCTGCCCAGCGCGTTGAGGGCCGCCTCACCCGCCTTGTAGCGAATAGTTTCGTTGCAGCCAGCGCATTTCCGTTCGCTCAAGATGTTGAAGTAGAATTTACCCAATCGCTTCATCTCTTGCGCTTCCCTCGCTCCCCTGTCAGGGCTTCTCCCCTCCCCTCCTCCTCCTCTTAGGGCGCTGGAGTTATTCACGATGGATTCCTTCTCTTAGCCACGGAAGCGAGCATGTGGGGGCGGAGCGGCTGTAAATTGTCAGCGATTTGCTGTTGATTCGCTTCTCGCTCACGCTTTGTGATAGAGGGCTCCTGCTGGCGCTAGATGAAGGCTTAGCAACGTGTTGTAGAGCAGGGGTTTAAATCCAGGATTGCTCGAGCTTTTGCCTTTTCCACGTTTCGATCTTTCAGTTTTGGGTGGTCGAGGCGCGGCCGTCTCCTCTTCCCTCCTTCTCCTTCCTCTTTTCCACTTCAACACGCAGCACGAGCCAGCTGGAAGACAACCTAACGGACTGAAGAGGCGAGCGACGCGGCAAGAGCCACCAAAATATGATAAAAATATGATAAATATAAACGATAATGAAGCCCAATTTTTGTGCTTTCATCTGCTTTGGGAGCTTTGGTCCAATCAGGCGACAAAACAAGACAGACTTGCTCCAGTTGTTGTGTCCACATGCGACACCACCTGCCCCTGGCGAACCTCCTGGGCGTGGGAGCTCATGGACGAGAAGTGGCCACTAGTGCTTCTCCTTTTTTCGGAATTTGAGACATGCACAACGTCAAGGCGGACTGCGTTGTTGTAATTCCTTTATCAGGGCACGCTGCTTGTGGCGAGGAGCCACAACTGCACAGCTAACCTCCATGCTGCGGCGGCGAGCACACCGCCTGTGTGCTGCACCGTACTCCTGGAACTCGTCTCGTGGTGTGCCAGCTTCTCTGCAAGCAGGCGCAACAGCCCTTGTCGCTCATCGTTCCACGCACGGCCGATTAATTAGCATTTTTCATTCAATTCACGCTCGGTCCGATTCGTATGAGGCCTCTGCCAGAGGCGAAGATAAGGACAACGAGGGGGTAAACCACGAAGAAGAGGAAGAGGAAGAGAAAGATGAAGAAGATTCAAGCATAATCGAGGCGAGGCTGCTAAAGAACAGAGAAGCAGATTCGACTCAACGATCAGCTGCAGCCAAGGGCAGTGGGCAGCTGCGGCCAGGGCTGTATGTAGTGGCGACCCCCATCGGCAACCTGTCAGACATCACCTTGCGCGCCCTTCACGTCCTCAAGTCCTCCAGCCTCATCTGCTGCGAAGGTGCCTCTCCCCGTGTCGCTACTCGCCGTCGCGATGCTAAACGCTCGAGCTCTTGGCGGCAGCACAGACACGCGCACCACCAGGATGATGCTGAAGCGCTACAAGATCGTCGGCGAAGAGCGTGATCGGAGGGAGGGGCGCGTCGAGCTGATGTCCTACCACCAACACTCCTCACCGTCCAAGGTCAACACGATCATCCAGGTACCGCCCAACCCCGTCCCTCGCGCTACTTCCTTCTCTCGCGAGTGCCCGCTCGCCCTTGTTCACGCCCGCACCTCCTCAGATTCTGAAAACCGGCGCACACATCGTATCACTGGTCAGTGATGCTGGTAGGTAAGCGCGCTCAGTCGTCCACCGCACGCACGCACGCACGCACCACATGCGCGCATCCACTGCACCTAGTGCTATCGGGCCTTATCGCAGACTCATCATCGGGCTTGCGCTTTCGCCCCTCAGGCACGCCCTCCATCAGTGACCCTGGGGTACCGCTCATTACTGAGGCCCACCGACAAAACGTACCGGTGATCCCCGTCCCTGGGGCCTGTGGTACGTGGCTTGCTGCTTAGCTCAGGGGCTGGCGAGCTCTCGAGAGCCCTGACCATCTTCCGTGTGTCTCGCTTGGCGCGCAGCTGTGGTGGCTGCGCTGAGCGGGTCCGGATTCCCATCGGAGCGCTTCATCTTTGAGGGATTCCTCCCGCACGAGCGGTCCAAGCGCAAGAAGCTCCTGGCACTGCTCGCCAAGCAGGAGCGTACCGTGGCCTGTACGTACCCTTCCACTTCACCACTGTGTCTGTCTTGTTATTCTACAGCGATTCTCTCTCTGTTATCTGTTATCTGTTCGGCTGCTGCATCTGTGTTGTGTCTGGTGATGTTAGTGCATTTGTAGTTTGACATGCTCATGTTACCCGCTTTCTTTCGACGAACTAGTTTACGAGTCGCCGCATAGAATCGTTCACACGCTGGCGGATTGCGTGGAGGTGTGGGGACCCGAGCAAGAGGCCTATCTCGCTCGAGAACTGACGAAGCTGCACGAACAAACCATGCGCGGGTCGCTGTCCAAGTTGTTGGAGACCATCACGGTACACCACCACCGGATGACCCGTCCGTCCCACCCCCCCTTCATGTCACGTCGACGTGGGCGGAGTGGAGTTCATCATCATCATCGTCATCTCCATGATGCGTGTCCGTGCGTGTAGGAGCAACGCTGACTTTGGCCATCCTGCTCTTTGCGCGCGCGCCGTCCGAGCAGCAGCAGGGAGGTCGGGGAGAGTTCACCGTCCTAATCGGACCGCGACCAACCACCGCCGGTGACAAGCGACGAGGCAGCCGCGCGCGCAGACCGCAGGACTTCTCGGACATGGCGCTCGACGATGACGACGAGGACGACTAGTCGCCTCGCCTCGCCTCGGTCTGGCACTAGGATCCGTTAGGGTCGAGCGCTTTCATAGGGTGTCTGCCATGGCCCTCACAGACCGAGGACCCCGGCACAGTAGCATCTCTGCAACGCTCGGTCGTCCACCATTTGAACTTTCAACTTTGGGTACACTTGCCCCCCGCCTACGTCATCACCCCCGACCAACACGCATAGGGCCGCGGCCCCCTCGCGCTGTTCTTGAGGTCTTCAGGCGCCTCATCCCAATTGGGACGTGCGCCTGGCAGCCCGCATTCATTCCGCGGATCCGTGCCGAGAGGAGGAGCAGTTGCCAAGTCTGGGGCAACGGTGGGCCGAACACCTCATCATCCACGCAAGCAAAAGCGAGGACCGGACAAGCTGGCGGCACACAGGGAGGTCCGACAATCTGTCCCTTCATCTCAGTTGGTCACTATCCGTGCGCCAGCCCGCATCGATGTGGTGACCAGCAGGAGCCAAATGGCCATATAAGGCCCGAGCGTGCTCTGGTCTCATTTTCGCGTAACTTCTGCGGCTCGGCCAGGGCCGGGAGGCGGCTGACAGTGGCGACGAGTGAGGCCCGCTGCTGTGCTTGGGTTGTCCCACAGGGGGCGTTCCACAAGCAGAGGCCCACGCTTCGGTGGAAACTAGGCCGGAAGGTCCTTGGGAGAGTCGCCTGTCGGCGTAGTTTCACGGTGGTTTCCTCGGGTTCCAAGCCGATGCTCTCTATCTCACTCACTAGTATCCACAGCCGGCTTCCGGTTCCTGCGGTAATGAGACTTGAACCCCTTGTCGCCCATCTTCGCGCTTCAACTGCTGAGCTCTCTCCGTCCGAAACAAATAGGGCCGTCTGCGTTCTGAACTCACTCTACATTCAACACACTTCGCTCAACCACCACTACTTCCCGCAGTCCCGGTGATCACACTCACACCACGCACTCACTCATCGCTTCCGCAGCCCGGATCCCTAAAGTCCACACCACAACACACCACTACACACCACCAGCACATCATCACACGCAACTCCATGCTGCAGCATAGAGCACTCGACTGCCCGGCCGTGGAAGAGGCCAGACGGGCCATGGTCTCGGCCGGCTACGTGCTGCCGCCCCAGTGCCAGCCTGTCCCTCTCGAGCCGCGCCGGCGACCACCTCCAGTCGCGGCCACCACCACCAGCAGCAGCTCCACTGGTGGGCGCCGTCACAGCATCTCGTGCTCCCCGGTCCGCGGAGTCCTGCCGGCCTCGGCCGCCGCTGCCGTGGCCGCCGCCTCGGCCGACGCCCAGCTCCTGGGCCAGAAGCGCCGGTTCTCGCTGCCCTACAACAACTGTGGCAGCGGACTCGACGCGGGCGTCCCGCTGACGGCCTTCCTGCCCTCCGAGTTCAAGCGCCGACGGACCTCCACCGCTCCATCGTCGCCGAGACCAGCCGCTGAGCCAGGCCTGTTTGTGCTACTGTCGACAGAAACCCCCACACTCCCGAGCATCGGCGAGCTGGTGGGAAACCACCCCGAGCCCTGTCTTCCGCCCCACACGGCCGCTACGCCCGACCACCCGCACTTCTCGCCCAGCCTGGCCGCGCCGGTGCCTCTCGACCAACAACAACAAACCGTGGTCATGGCGTCGCATCCGATTGTGATGACGATGGACCACCCCTCCACAGCCCTATACAGCAATCCGACCTCCTCGACCATCATGTCGACGACGTCGTCGTCGTCTTCTACGCCCACCTCGTCTGCTCCGTCCTCGCCCAGAGTTCAGCGTTTCGAAAGCGCGGCCGACCAGCAGCTCGCACGCGACGAGGCCCACGCCGAGAAGGCCCGCCGTGCTGAGCGCGTGGCCGAGATCCTCGAACTGATGGACCGTCAGAACAACGGCACCGCAGCCACCGACGCCCAGACCACTGCCTTGGGCGACGCGGAACACGACGGGTCGTGGCCGGTTGCGGGCGACGTGAAGCGGCGGCGCGTGGGCAAGGACCAGACGGGCATACTGGACCTCATGTTCAAGGTGGAGCCGATGCCGACGCAGGTCACGAAGAAGCGCCTGGCCGACGGTCTGGGAATGACCTACAAGCAGGTCCAGATCTGGTTCCAGAACAAGAGGGCGCGGTGCAAGCGAGCCGTCGAGGCGCCGCCGCGGTCGTCGCACACGTTCCACAACGTGCTGGTCTCGTCCGACGGCCGCTTCATGATTAAGGAGCTCGCCAAGGCCCGCCAGCAATCCCAGCAGCAGTCGCCGTCCCATCAGCTCTACGACCACCAGCTCCACCGCCACCACGAGCCCTCTGCCGCGCCACCACCGGTCGCTCTGCGGTCTTGTATCCTCACCCAATAGTCCTTGTAAGTTTCTAGTCTCGTTCTTCACCCACAAGGGAACGATTGTACACTCACCACCCACCTCATAAGAGCAACCTTAGCCCACTTTTTGAATCAGTACGGAGCCACGGAATCGATGCCTCGAAGCACCCTATTGAGAATTGAATCTGATCAACACTGGCGTGGCCTCGTCGAAGCACACCTACAGACCAGTCGGTGGTCGCTCGCCGAGCACCGGCAAACCGGATAGGATCAAAGAGAAAAGGCTCGAGAAAAGAAAAAGAAAGCGGTTCCGTAACCAAGGCGGCCAAGGAAAGAGAACAACGGACCAGCAACTGCCGTAGGAGGTCGCACAGCAAGAAGTAAAAGATGTCCGTCGAAGAGCTCAGGGAAGTGTTCGATCAATTCGATGAAAATGGCGACGGCCAGCTCTCCCTTGAGGAGTTCGCACAGGCCTTCCGGGCCTTGTACGTTTTTTCGCCATCCACAGCGCTGTACTCGGCCAGCTGAAGAATTAGAATCCTAATGAGATGTTAATGTTGCAATTCGGGGTGGGGTTTATGCAGCGGCGAGCCGGACAAGGAGGTGCACGCTGCCTTCAAGAAGTGCGATAAGGACGGCAACCAGTCAATCGATTTCGTGCGTACTCGCCTGATCTCCCGGCAGCGTAGTGCGAAAAGTTTGTGCCCTGGTCCTTGCAGCCACTGACCCGCTCGCCCCTGCTTGGGTCGTTCCCTTCACCTCGGCTTCCTCCTACAGGATGAGTTCGTGAGCTTCTTCAATGAGGCGGATGACGATGACAAGGTGCGCCTTGGCCTGGATAGCATGTTGAAGCCCAGTTGTGAAGCTCATTCTTTTTCTTCAACTCACCTGCAGCCGGAGGTGAACGAGTCTGCGCTCAAGGCCCTGTTCAAGGCGTTCGATGAAGATGGCAATGGCAAGCTCAGCAAGCAGGAGCTCGTCAAGGCTTTCAAGGCGTGGGGTACGAGTCTTCTCGGTCGGTCTACACGACCCCGGCCGCAACTTACGCACTCGCTCATGAATGGCAGGTCACCCCATCACTGAGACCGAGGTGGACCGGAGCTTCAAGACGCACGACCTGAACGGCGATGGTCAGCTTGACTTTGTACGCTTCTTCATGCACACTTGTCCACGAACGCGCTCACTTCTTCACTCACTTTCGCCTCTGGTTTTATTGAACAGGAGGAGTTCAAGAAGATGATGCTCGAGTAGACTGGGCGCCACTCTAAAAAATCGCTCATCCCAAGCTTTGAAGTTGTAGGAGGCCCTGCCCCGCCTCCTTCTTGTAATGCATGCCACGCGGGAAGAAAAGCAGAGAAGAAAAGCTGCATCAAAAATCGTACAATAACAAATCCAAAATCACGTCATAGAGATGCGGAGATCGCCTGCAAGATTGGTGGTGGCCTCACCTCTCTCAAGTCCGCTGGTAGCGCACGGCAATGGTGCGTCCTCTTGAGGCCGAGAGGCAAGATTCCGCAATCTGCCGATTAACCCTTCGCTTTTTTCCAAGTAGCAGGAGGCGTTCTGCTGGGCTACTGTGCGAGGCGGCTGCAGGTCACAAGCTGCCTCCTTCCTCCCCGCAGCCCCGCACTTCGTACATATGCCCTCCACCTCTTCTACATCTTTCCTTCTCCTCACGCGCCACCCCACACGCTACACGCTCTAGAGCTGGTGCTGCCGAAGGCTCTCTTGGGTGCAGGCTCCCGAACGCTGCGACAACGCGGCGGGCTGGGACCCAGCGGCGCGCGCCGATCGTACGCGTCTACGTCGGGCGCTGCAGCAGCTGGGCGAACAGGGGAGGAAGAAGCGACCACCACTCCCACGCGGAAGCGAAGCGGCGGCGGCGGCAAGGGTCAGCGAGAGGCGGAGAAGGTGATCACCGACATTACGCCGCACCTGGCCGAGCTCGACGCCGAGAAGCGGCAGAAGGGCGGCGTGGACCCCAAGCACGTCGCCGCCGTGCTCCGGATGGTGTGGGAGGGGCGCGAGCACGTCAGCGAGAAGGGCCGCGAGGGCGAACGGCTGCTGCGCCACCTTAAGTGGCTCCGCGCTGGCGGCGATGACGGCGAAGGCGGCGTGGAGGGATACACCGATCTCATCTCGGCCCTGGCCAAGTTCGGCCTCGTGGACGACTGCTTCGCCGTGTTCGACCGGATGAAGGGCAGCGGAGTGCAACCTAACGAGTGGACCTACACTGCGCTCATCTCTGCGTGCGTGCCGCAGCGAGACCGGACGCGCGCCATGCGCGTGTTCGAGGAGATGCGGGAGCAGCGGGAGGACCTCAAGCCCGACGCGGTCACCTACACGCTGCTGCTCAAGGCCAACGAGGGCCGCACGGTGGTCGAGGTGAAGGAGGCCATGCAGCTCCTCACCAAGCTGAAGAAATCAGGAGTCGGTACGTGGAGCTGAGCTCGATCGAGCCAGTGATTGTGACGTTCATTCACTGACGCGTGGTGTGTGTTGTGTGTTGTGTGGTGTGTGTGTGTGTGTGTGTTGCGCTATCTCACAGTGCCTAACGTGCGATTGTTCGACGCGCTGATCAACGTCATATCCGGCAATAACTTCCTCGAGGGCAAGGTCGGACTCAACCAAGGTCCGTCCACACACCACCGCCCACCACCGCCACTGCGACCCATAACGCTGACACGCTTCCCCCAATATCGCAGAGAAGAAAGAGATGGAGGAGGGCAGGAGTAAGTACAGCAAATACAAGAGAAGGGACAGCATGCACGACCAAGCGCGAGCGCAGAAGGAGATGCGGGAGATGGGCAAGGCCCAGCGGCTCGAGCTGGTGCTCGACGTGCTCGAGCGCATGAAGGAATTCGAAAAGCTCACCCGCGAGGTCACCGGCGCCGAACCGCTCAGGGCCAACATCTACCTGTTCAACTCGCTGTTCCGCGCCTACAAGCTCAACGGCGAGAACCAGAGCGACTTCGAGGAGGCCTTCGTCGTGTTCGAGGAGCTGATGAAGCCGCGCCCGAACGTGGAGACCTACACGACGCTGCTCGAGATCGCGTGCAGGATGCGCTACCGGGACCACGGCGAGCGGCTCATCCGGAAGATGAAGAAGGCCAAGAGCGTCATCAACAGCAAGGCGACGGAGAGCGAGCGCGCCGAGCTGGAGCGGCTCAAGGCCAGGGTAAAGAAGCTGCCGCTGTCCCCCGAGGCCGTCCTGCAACTCCAGCTGGCGCCCGAGGAACCCGTCGAGGCCGATCTGGATGACGACGACGCCACCATCATCGACAGCACCACCGCATAAACTGTCATTCGAGGCCACAACACCGCACACGCCAACCGCACGACACACACCACACACACACGCACGCGCTGGGAGGAGACACAAAAAAAAAGGGTGATGGAGCTGTGCGCCAGGCTTACCGATGGCTCTGCGACAACCGTGTATATTGGACGACGAGTCTTGGAAGGATATGTCGTCCGATCATAGTTGGTGTGTTGTCGCAGTTGGGATAGCCGGTCGGTTGGAGACGAGACATTATTGCTTGCAGATATATTGACCCGTCCCCGATGCCATAGAACGTGTTCAGCATGAGAGCACCCTCGCATCGTCGATGCTGGGGCTTGCGCGCTATGAGCCCTCTTCACACCTCGGGCGATTCTATTGTGGGACTCGAAAAAGTATTTTCAGTGAAGTTGACCCAACGGGTTGCAAGTCAACAGCAAAGAAGGAGGCGAAGGAGTTGGTTAAATAGGTTTTATGGAGTCAACAGCAGTATGACTGCTGACAAAGAGGATTATATAATAAATAGCTACATAGCTCTGTAGGTGCACAAAATGAGGCAGTGGAGAGGAAGACTATATCACTCTCACTGAGAAGATATGAGATGGGTTCCCCCTGATGGTGGTCCCTTCTTCGTCTTCTTCATAGTTTAGAAGAAGAAGGAGAGGAAGGAGGTGAGGGTCGAGGCGGGCGAGGGGTCGGTCTCCTGGCCGACGTTGAAGACGAAGAAGGCGTTGGCGTTGGTCGACGAGTTGGCGTAGGTGTAGGTGAAGCTGGCGGTGGTGCCGCTGACGGTCTGGGTGGTCGAGGCGCCAGTGCCGGGGGCCGTCTGGGCGTAGATGCCGTCGTAGAGGTGGGCCACACCGCTCGAGATGATGCCGCTCTTGCCGGGGGTCTTGACCTGGGCGTCGATGTAGAGCTTGTTCTCCTCGGAGAGCACAGGCCAGTTGGTGAGCGACACCTCAACCACGGCCCAGCCGTCGACGAGGTTGAAGGTCTTGGAGTTGATGGAGACGGCGGTGGCGTTGGTGTCCTTGATGACGTACACCTTGACGTTCATGTTGGCGTTGACAGTGGTGTTGGAGCTGGTGGTCACCTGGATGGTGTTGGAGTTCAGGTCGATCTGGCCGGCAGCGATGCTCTGGTAGGTGGTGTCGTCGTTCTTGCTGGTGGTGAAGCCGGCGTTGTTGAACGAGTTGTAGGTGGGCAGCACGGCGCCAGAGGCCGACACCTCCCTGATCCTGATGAGGCTGAACTGGAAGGTCTTGTCGGCCTTGGTGTTCTCGAGATCGATGCGGCCGGCGCCGGGGTTGCCGGTGACGGTGAGCTTGGTGCCGGAGACGGAGACCGGGGTGGGGTCCTGGGCGAGGGCGGCGATAGCCAGGGCGAGCACGACGAGGAGGATGGCGAACACCTTCATGTTGTTGATGATGAGAGTTGTTTGTGTGTGAGTGTTGGTTGAGTGATGTTAGAGGGACCTTGCCGGAGTGGTTTTATAGTCGAGGTTGCGGGCGTGTTCCCTCAACATGATTGGTTTGAGTGGACATTGTTTGATTGGCCGACCTAGGTCATGTTGTTGTGCGTGCTTCCTTCTCTGGGAATCTCATTTGAAATGCACGACGAAAAAGAAAGATAGTAAAATGTCGACACTATGTCTTGGCCCAATGGCAGATTCTCCACGGTTAAGAAAGCAGACATGCCAGCTCCATGTGAACTTTCACCTGGACTCTAGGAGTCGGCACCAACGCCAAACGCGTTTCGGCTTTCTGCAGACTTGGCCGTTGGTCGTCGTTCACCGCGAAGCCGTTGGCCGCCAATGTCGAATGATCGCTGTTGGAGAGCGGGCTTGATCGTTGACGTTCTGCTCCATCCCTTCCGGCCGAAAAGTGAGGCGGAGGGAGTTGGAAATCAGACCAGCGATCAGGCCGAGCGCGAGGCGCCCTGCAGGCCGGCCTGGGTGGGCGTGAGCGGGCAGCCAGTGAAGAGTTTGCGCCATTCTCTTGTTCTCTTACCATTCCAGCTGCAACCAGCAACAACATCACAACAAACACCAAATCGACTCACTACTTCATACAGACCACGAACAGCATCATGCAGCGTCGCGCCCTCTCCCGTTCCGTTTGCCTCGTCCGCCCGCGCCAGGCCACGATAAGCCTGGGCGTTCGCAACTTGAACATCAACACCAATGCCGCCAGCGCCAGCCCCGTCAGCACGCTCAACACGCTCATCGAGACCACCAAGGACAGCAAGGAGGGTACCCGTCCCACAGGGCTCATGTCAGGCGCCGACCTTCATGTCGCACTCAGTCCTCAATGTTTCTCTGACTCAAACGCTTCATATTGTCAGGCTTCAAGACGGCGGCCGACCATGTCAAGGACGCCAACATTAAGAAGAACTTCCAGGAGTATGCCCAGCAGAGGGAGCAGTTCAGCAAGGAGCTGCAGGACCAGGTCAAGAAGTACGTCGTCCTGTGCTCATCAGCCCCCATCGCCATGACGCTTCATGTGGCTAGTTGTTCACCACCTTCTTCTACACGGGCAGGCTCGGTGGCACCCCCGAGACCTCGGGATCGACGCTTGGCGCTATTCACAGGGGGTGGGTCAACCTCAAGTCGGCCCTCACCGTGAGCGACAAGGCGATCGTGTCGGAGGTGGTGAACGGCGAGACTGTGGCTGAGAAGTACTTTGTCGATGCGTCCAAGGACCAGTCGCTCCCCCAGGAGGCGCTGGGTCTGGTGCAGAAGCAGCACGCCAAGGTACAGGAGTCGCTCAACTATGCCAAGGACCTCTACAACAAGCTTTGAAGCCGACAACAGAATGCATTTCGACAATTTGAAATTTTGTCCAAACTTAAACGAAACGTAGCGGGACAGGAGCCTTTTGGGTTGGCGGAACTTCAACAACAAGGAGACAGCGGCTTCTTGGTTGTACAACCCCACATGTGGTCGCGGTGAAGAAGTAGCTTCAAGCTCTCTCTCCGCTCAGATCTGCTATTTATTTTAAATTTATCCAATAATCCCACAATGCGGCGAAATCTGAGCATGAATGCAGCTCCACTGAAGCTTCTCCGCCCTCGTCTCTGTTCCTCTTCCTCCCTGTCGCTGGTGGCACGACCACGAGGTACCCTACTTTACTTCCACATCGCTGCGCCGCAACAGAGATTGAATGGTGCACCACGTCACGACAGGCGTGTCGTACATGAGCACGACCAGCACCGCGAAGGCCAAGCGGCCGAGGGACTCGTTGGTGGAGCGGGACCTGCGGTTCAGCACCGACCCACGGCTCCAGGAGGCCTTCGTCAACAGCTCCGGCAAGATACGACTGGGCATGGTCCTCGAGGAACTCGACACCCTCGCTGGTACACTCCGCATGACGACACGCACACGACCGCACACGCACACGCACGACCGCACACGATGTTGGTCTGACATGCACGCAATCAAGCGCGTGTCGGGTATGCACACGCGTTGGGCACGCCGCGGGTGGCGCAGTTGGAGGAGCGACGCAAGGAGGGCCTCGAGGTGCCCACCATCGTCACCGCCGCCTGCGATCGCATCATGCTGCTCAACCCGATCAGCATCGACCGCGACCTCAAGCTGCGCGGTACCACCGCCACCACCGCCACCCAGGCCTCTATTCCATTCGATCTCAACGCGCCACCAAAACAGGAATGACGACGTGGGTGGGCAAGTCGTCGAGCGAAGTCCGCGTCGAAGTCTCCTCCGTTAGAAAGGACCCCCAAGGCAATGACGGTGCGTGTCGTGTGTCGTGTGTCGTGTGTCGTGTGTCGTGTCGTGTGTGTCGTGCGTTGTCTGACGGATGGCTATGGGGCTGGTTCTAGAGGCGACGCCGCATCTGGTGGCCTACTTTGTGATGGTGGCGCGCAGGAACGGAGTGAACGAGGCCTACCCCATCCCGCCGCTCGAGCCCGTCTCGCCCGCGGAGAAGCGCCACTACGACCAGGGCGCCTCCAACGCTGCGCGGAGGAAGGAGGCCGCAGCGACCTCGCTGCTCATACAACCGCCCAAGCTCGACGAGATCAAGATCGTGCACGACATGTTTGCGCGCCAAATGCACCAAGGTATCTTCACACACCACACACCACGACACACCACACACACACGACACACGACGCACGACACACGACGCACGACACACACGACACACACGACACACGACTTACGACTTTGGTTTTTTGCTGCGCCGATGCAGGGCAGGCCCAGCAGGATGCGTCTGAGGTGCCGATGGCCAGCGCGTGCCATTCGTCCACCCAGTGGACGCACCCGCAGGTACCTGTGCGCCGCCGCAGTGTGTGACACGTCCCTCGATTGTCCGCCAACGCTTGACTTGTGCAGAACCGTAACATCCACGGCAACATCTTTGGTGGCTTCCTCATGCGCCAAGCCTTTGAGTTGGCGCACGTCACCTGCGGTACGACCTCATCATTCCCCTTCTTCCTCTTCTTCCTCCTGCTCATCATCATCATCATCACCACCACCACAACCACAGGGCTCTTCACCGGCGTGATGCCCACCTTCCTCTCAATGGACGACGTCTCCTTCCTGCGGCCCGTGCACATCGGTACCACACACGACACGACCAACGACACGACCAACGACCAACGACACGACACGACACGGCACACACGACACTCGCTTTTGGTTGATCATGCAACGTTCGGCCCAAAGGCTCGGTGCTCGCGCTGGAGAGCCAGGTGGTCTACACCTCGACCAGCACGCTCGACTATGAGTCGGACCAGGACCGCGACCAGCAGAGCGCCACTGGGGGCGCCAAGCAGCAGCAGCAGGGCTTTCCGCTGGTGCAGGTGCGGGTGCAGGCCAACGTGGGCAACTTCGGCACGGCCTTCGAGCCCAGCAACGTGTTCCACTTCAACTTCAAGGCCGGCGCCAACCAACGCAAGGTGGTACCCAACGCCTACTCCGGTACGATCTGTGTGTTGTCTGTGTGTTGTATGTGTGGGCGCGTGTGCGGTGCTGACATCAACGCACGTGTTTGTTCGCAGAGGCGATGGCCTATCTGGACGGCCGCAGGCGCATGATCCGCGAGAAGACGCTGCGACAGGACATCGCGTCCTATCTCGAGGGCTTTGGCACCGCACATGTCGAGTGAGCCGCGCAATAAAGACACAGAGACAACACGATCGCCACCGCCATCGTCATCATCATCATCATCATATGTGTACAAAGAGAGTGCCTTCATCAATCAGCGAATGCCGCCAACGCCACCAGCCTGGGCTCAGTTGGGGTTGGCAGCGGCGACGACGCGGGTGGGTGGCCGGATCTCGCTGGAGCTGTCCTTCTTGGCGGTGATGACGTCCTTGTCGAGCATCAGCTTGCCGCTTAGCGACCGGATGAACTGCGAGTGCGACGTCGATCGGACCAGGAAGGGTCCCTTGTAGGTGGTGCTCCGCCGCGACCATCGGTCCAGCGCGTCCAGGCACGACAGCACCGCCTCCAGGTTCTTGCCGTGGTACAGATCGGCCGGCCTGCAATATTTTTAAAATAGAGTTATTTTTTATTCAATAAGAATTGTTATTAGTATTGATGTTGTTGTGTTATTTGCTATTTTTTGGGGGTGGCGGTACTCGAAGACGGTTTTGACGCCGAGCTTGCGGCAGCCCTGGACGAAGTAGGTGATGTTCTCCATCTGGTAGAAGACCATGTCGCCCACGTGCACCTCCTTGACGATGCCCGGCGAGATGACATTGAGCAGCCTGCGCCATGGATTGGTGAGCGCTGCGCGCCCTTCGACGGAAAGCGATTGACAACGCTGAGTGGGGGTGGAGGGTTGGTGGCGTACTTGCACAGGAGTACGCCGGATCGGAGGGACTTGAAGAAGTCGGCGGAGGGGAACGACTCCTTGGTGGCCTCCTCGATCCAATGCCGAATGTCGTTCTGCTTCTGCTCGAACGTCTCCTTCTCCGCTTGCCGCATCCGCCCCTGTGGCGTTCCATTTCGTTCGTTTACTCACTCGTCGCACACCACCGCACGCGCACGCGCACACGCAAGATGACGTACCTCGGAGGAGTTGGTGTTGACGACGGTGCGCGGGCTGGCTCCGCGCGGGCTTGCGGGCGACTTGGCCTTGAGCGAGAGCCGGGTGCTGAGCCGGTTGACCCGCCCGGAGGGGACCCGGATGGGCAGCGGGTAGTGGTACTGGATCAGGCCCTCGCCCTCGCCCTCGCCATCGCCCTCGGCGGGCGTCTCGGGCGCGTCTCGGTCCCCGTCGCCGTGGGCCTTCTCCGCAGTCTCGCCCGGTGCTGAGGTGGTCGCTGTCGCCTCCTTGGCCTTGCTGACGTCATCGTGCTCCCCCTTCGCCACGCTCTCGACACCCGCGTCTTGCTTGGCACCATCGGCGGCGGCGGCTGCGCGCGGCGTCTTCCGTCGCGGCGTCTCTTTCTTTCTCTTTCTTGGCCTTCGCTTTCGCTTTCGTTTTCTTGGGCGCCTTCGTTTTCTTTTTCGTCGACTCCGCGGTGGTGGCTTGGGCGGCGGCCAGGCTCTGTTCGAGGGCCTGGATGCGCGCCAGGGCCTCCGCCAGCTTCCGCTCCACGTCGCCGGCCCGCTGCCTCTCGGCTTCGAGCGCGCGCAGGGCCTCGTCTCTCTCCTGCTCGGCCCGGGCGCGTCGGTCGGCCTCCTCCCCGAGCCGCTGCTCCAAGGCCTGCAGCACCGCCGCATCGTCGGCCTCCTTCTCGAGCCGTCGCTTCTCCGACCTGGTCGACCTCCTCTTCCTCTTCGTCTCCGTCGCCGCCACTTCCTCCCCGCCGGCCGCCGTCGCGTCCTAAAAACATGTTAATATTTGTTTTTCAAAAGATTTGAATAAATGATAAATATTATTTTACAATAAAAAAGAAAAAGAAAAGGTACCGGCTGGGCGGCGGAGTTGTTGTGGGCTCGGGGCGTCTTCTGCCGGGGCGTGGCGGGCTTGTCGCCTTGCGGGGTGGGCGACTCCACTGCCGGCGGGTTCTTGCGTTTGCCGATTTCTTCGATGAGCAGCCGGAGGTCGGAGGTGGGGATGTCCATGTCGTAGAACTGCTGGGTCGTGACCTCGAACAGCCGCTCCATGGAGGCGATGCCTCGCACCTTGACCAGCTCGTTGACGTGCTCGTCCAGCTGGATGTCCTCCAGGAAGCCCTCCACCGTCCCCTCCTTGTATTTCCGCTTGGGTCCATTCTCCGCCGCTGCCATAGAAGTCACATCAGTACGTGCGCGTGAGGGCGGTGTGTGTGCGTGTGCGGTGTGTGCGGTGGTGCGCGCGTGCGCATACCTCCGGGGTTGAGCTGAACATTGAAGTGGGTCAGCCAGCCCGAGAACGAAAGCCTCTGCTTGCTCTTGGGGAAGGCCGGCGCCGGTTTGCGCGGACCTAACAAAAGTAATAAAAAGAAAAGTAATAAAAATGGAGGTCAGCCGACTTCACTGCGATGTGCAAGGTGGTTGGGGTTGGGATCAACACGCACTGATGATAATCTGGGTGCCAGGGCCGGGCGCGGGGGTGGCGGAGCCGCTCTGGCTCGTCTTCTTGGCGCGCCAGCTCATGCTGGCGGTCATCACCTTCGAGTTGGGCGACCCCAGCTGCTGCTGCTGCTGCTGCTGTCGCTGCTTGTCCTTCTTCTTGTTCTTCTTCTCCTTCTTCTTGTTCTTCTTCTTGTGGCCGCTGCCTTCGTCGCCGCTGGACGACGAAGAAGAAGAAGACGACGCGGATGATGAAGAGGAGGAACGGTGTCGGTTGCCGGTGCGGCTCTCCTTGGCGAGGCCCGACGACCGTCGGTCGGCGAGTTCGTTGCTGTTGCGCTCGTTCGGCCGGCCGCCGCCCTTGGTCGTCTTGAGCTTCTCCTTGTTGTGTTTGCTGTTGTACGAGAACCGGTCGGATGAGCTCCTCATGTGCGGGCTCAGCGTGTTCTTCTGTTGTTTGCGTTGTGTGTCGGGCGGTAAGCCAACTTCTTCGTTGACACCAAAAAGAACGAAAAGCAAAGAACGAAGAGCGAAGACGATGGCGCACGCGCCGGAGTAGTTTGAAAAGAGAAAGAGAGGAGCGACATTGGGCGATGCGCGAGCTGCTGTGGGGATATCTCGAGACCCAAAATGAAAGCGATCGCCGCAATCACCGATAAAACGACAAATATAGCAACTCGAACACGAGGCACGAACGACAACAAGCTCACCGCACACGCACTCACCGCACGCAGTCGGGCGCACTCACAGAAAGACACGGGAAGACGCGTGGGAATGCGCACCTTGGAGGGACGCGCGTCGAGGGCGGGCGATGAGGAGGACGTGGGGATCGCCATTGGCGCCGCCGTGCCGTTGTTGGTCGCCACCACCACAACGTTGTTGTACTGCAGGTCCTCGAGCGCCGACAGGTTGCGGCGGTGCTTCTTTGCGGCGGCGCCGCGGCCGCGCTGGTCATCGCCAAAGGCCATACCGCCCGAGAGCCGATGATGATGGACGGTGGGCGCACGCGTGGGCGACGCGGGCAACGATAAGGATGAAGATGACGAAGAAGATGATGAAGTAGATCCGCTCTTGCCGGCTTTCTTCTTTTTGCGCTTGCCGCTTCCGCCATCGTCGTCTTCGGCCTCGGCGGCGAGGGTAATCATGTCGCCCATCTTCTTCTTGTCGATCATCGTTTCATCCATGGCGGTCGATTCCTTGCTGCTGGGGATGAAGCAGGTCAAGGCATTTCGCACGCTCGACGACCTCGATTTGCTGCTGTTCAGCTTCGATGGGCCGGGCGCCTCCAACGTGGTAGCGCTTCGTCCTTCCCGCGTAGCAGTCGCCCCCTTGCTATTGTTCTTCTTCTTGTTCTCCTTCTTCTCCTTCTTGTCCTCTTGGAGGCGAGATGAGATCTCGGACATGGCCGAGTGGTCCAGGCTCTTGCTTCGATCCCGAACGCGCGAGCCCCCCTCCTCAATATTATCATCTCCATCTCCATCTCCATCTCGTGCTTTCTTTCCCTTCTTCTTTTTCTTCGCCTGGTGGTGGTTCTCTGGGGGCGGCCCGAAGCGAGGGCTGAAGCCTCGCCGGGGGCTGGCGTTGAGGGACTGAACTCCTCCCTTCGGCGCCTTTTCTCTCTTCTTTTTGTTGTCTTCGAGTTCGTTGCCGTCACTTCCGCCACCCGAACTAACCTCCTTTTCATCCATCTTTTTTTGTCTCGCCCTTCTCCTGCGCTATCTGTCTAACCTATCGTCCCTTCTCCTTCTTGATCTTCTTCGTCTTCGTTGTTTCCTCTCTTCGTTCTTTATTGTGCAACCCGTCGCTTTCGTTCTTTGCAAACACAGCCGTTAGGTCGCGTTCACGCAGCGTGGCCGCTGGTTGCAACCAGAGCAACAGGCCGAGTGGTCGCCGAGGCGGAGCACAAACTGCATTGTCGACATGACAGGAAATTACTAAGGAAATACGCAAAGAAAAAAATAATAAAAACCTCGCAGTGGATGCGCAGGCCGATCTCGACGTGTAGAGTTGGCTCGACTGTCTGCTTGTTCCCTTCTGCAGCTCGACCTTCACCTGCGTCTTCTTCAGCACTACGCCTGCAGTTTCAATCACGTTCATTGGGCACGAGCTCGCCTATAGAGATGGAAAATCCCGAATTCAACATAGAGCCCACTGCTGAAGAGTGTGCGGAGGTAGTACGGCGACTCAATGGCATTCAACAAGAAGTCACCGAAGTGTCACAACGGCTTGGCCTCAAGCAGGAGGTACTCGCCATCATACAAATAATCGATAATTACAAATAATCAATATTATATCAATAATAATCACATATTCCACATGCAGCCGCGTCTGGTGGCAGTGAGCAAGACCAAGCCGGCGGCACTGGTGCGCGCATGCTTTGAAGCTGGACACGTCCACTTCGGAGAGAACTACGTCCAGGAGCTCGTGACGAAGTCTAAGCAGGTATGGCACTGTTGTATGCATCACCCCCCCCCCACAGCACCTTACGCGCACCCACAAATCACCACCAACGTATGGCTGCTGCTGCTGTTGGCTCTTCTCACGTCTCTACCAGCTCCCCGAAGGCATCAAGTGGCGGTTTATCGGCCATCTGCAATCCAACAAGTGCAAGGTACTCAGCACTCAGCGTCCTCCTTGCGCCGTGAGCTAGTTTTTGGCACTCACCCCGTCCTGATGGATTCTCGGTTCGTGCTGCGGTGTTGTTGTTGTTGTGCTCTGTCGGCTGCAGCAAGTGCTGAGCGTGCCCAATCTCGACTGCGTTGAGACTGTCGACAGCGTCAAGCTCGCGACTGCGCTCGACAAGGCTGCCGCTGCCGCCGGACGCACCACCCCGCTCTCCATCCTGGTCCAGATCAACACCTCCGGCGAAGAGAGTAGGTCACCCTTGAACTCTTGAGACAATGTCTTGACGCGTGAGCTGACTGGTCGTGTCGTGTCGTGTCGTTGGTCGTGTCGTGTGGTTTTCCTTGTCTTGCGTGCTTTTTCTTTGCAGGCAAGAGCGGCGCTGATCCGGAGAAGGTGGTGGACGTGGTGAAGGAGATCAGGGAGAAGTGCAGCCGTTTGCACTTTGCCGGCCTGATGACCATCGGCCGATTTGACGAGCACCCGGAGCCGGACTTCCGGGTAAGTCTCCTACGCGCGCTCAACTCCCAACTCTTGCTTCTTTGCCTGCCGTGTGTTGCGTTGCGTTGCGTGTTGTGTTGTGTTGTGTTGTGTTGTGTTGTGTGTTGTGATCCGCGGTTGATTGCTGACCTGCACTTCTCGTACACGACACGGTAGAAACTCGTTGAGTGCCGAAAGAAAGTGTGCGACGAGCTCGGTCTGCCCGTGGAGCAGGTCGAACTCAGCATGGGCATGTCCCACGACTTCAAGATTGCGGTACCCCATCTTATCAACATCTCACCGTTTTTGCGCACCAGTGTGTGTCTTCTCTTATGCCTTCATTTCGCACACAACGTTGACCAGATCGAAGAGGGAAGCACCAACGTAAGAGTCGGCAGCAGCATCTTTGGCGCTCGCGTCTACCACAAGTAGCCCGGCCCCATCCCGTACAGCCCTCGCCCCTTGCCACCTTGACGAATGGGTGTCGGCTCTAGTGTCGACAAATTAAAAGCTCGAGTTTCACCAAATGCGCGACTTTTTCGTCTGCGCGATCCCGAGCAACGGCCCACGGAGTCGAACCGCACCACAACGACCACAGGCGAGCGAGCAGCGAACGAACCCAGGTTGACGATAAACAAAAAGGAGGAAGCGCCGGAACACTTCAAACTCGAACAAGCCGCGAAGGCACGACACCACGCTTTACAACTCAACTCCTTCGAGCTCGAGCCGAGACCGCGAAGAGAAGAGAAGCGAGAAGAGATGTTCAACTTCAAGAAGGAGGTGTTCGACCACCGGCAGGGGTCGATGATCGACGGCCGGACGGTGTCGCGGGTGGCGCCGTGCCCGGGTTCGCCGCAGCTGCGGGTGGACCTCGCCGCGGCCGACGACGTCACGCTCACGGCCTGCAAAGTCACCCGCACCAGCCCCCTCCTCTCCGTCCACTCCAAGACCTCCATCGTACGGACCACCTCCCCCCTTTCGTTCTTCTCCTCTTTCGTTCTTCCAGAAGGCCTCAATTTAATATTGTTTTTTTAATTCTTGATTATTCTTGACGGTCACAAGCACACGCAAACGTGTTTTTGGGCATAGGACAACATTTTTTATTCTTTTTTATTCTTTTTTAATTATTTGATTATTTTTCCCTGTGATGGTTGCTGCCGCTCCTCCTTATTTCGCTGACGGTCACACAGCTGTACGAGCTGGAAGTGACCACCTCGCAGGGCGTCTACTACATTGACCGCACCTTTGAGGAGCTCGCCGAACTGAACACCGTGGTACCTAAGCTTCTTCCTCTCTCTCTCTCTCTCATTTCGCCGTAGTGGTGGTTTGGCCGCTGACTGACATTCCGCCGTGTGATGTACTTCGCCGTCAGCTCAAGGACCTGCCGACCCTCAAGAAGACGAAGAGCGTCCGCGGAGCCCTGAAGAAGCCGAACAAGCCCAAGAGCATGGTACCCTTCCAGCTTGTCCTTCTTCCCCGCGCAGTTGCCACTTTTCTCGCCGGTGGTGATGGCTCAATGGCCAACTCAACCCGACGCGTGCAGGACAAGCACCGCCAGAAGTGGAACGAACGGTTCGAGGCCTACATCAAACAGGCCAGCCAAGCGGCCATTCTTCGCACCATGCTCGCTCCACGCGTACATTCGCGCTCCCTCTCAGCAGTGTCGTGCGCGTGTGTGCGTTAGTGCGTGTTGCGTGTATCTCTTTCGCGGGTGTTTCACTCACACATCGGCCGGCGTTCCAGTCCAAGCCGCGGCACCTGCTGTTCATTGACATTATCGAGGCGCGCAACCTGGTCTCCACCGACATGAACGGTAAACACACAACGTTCACCCAACCACACGCCCACCTCTCAGCTCTCTATGCAATGCTGAAACCTGGTCTGTACGGCGGCTGTGGTGTGTGCTTGATCACGCCAGGCAAGAGTGACCCCTACCTGCGCGTGTCCATGGTGGACGTCCATGGCAAGGTGATTGGCCAGCCGGCTCTGACTCCCGTGGTCCACAAATCGGTACATGACTCTTCGTTGTTCTTCTTCGCTTTTTTCGCTCTTTGCTCTTTACCACCCTAACCGCGAACGTTGAAAAACGTGTCGCACCTTAGCTCAACCCGGTCTGGAACGAACAAGTGGCCTTGTACGCTACTACTTCTCACCTCACTTGTGCGCTCTCGTCGTTTCTCAAAGAGAACTCACTGGTCTCGCATCCACAGTGAGCTGGACGACTCCGTGGACTCGGTGACGCTGTCGTGCTGGGATCACGACCGAATCTCGCGCGACGACTTCATGGTACCACCTGACCGCACGCCGGGGCACGTGACCACAAAGTACGATTGTGTAGCGCTGATCTTTTTCCTCCGTCTCCTTCAGGGCCGCATCATGCTCAAGAAGCGCGACATTCCGCACAACACGTACGCGCGCCCTATTCTCGGTCGTGAGACTGGTCGTCAAGGGGCTGGCCAGGCACACATTGCTCACACGTGTGCGTGGCCCGATGCTAGGGAGGTGCGGAGGTGGTTCCCGCTTCACCCGAGCAAATCGCGCCAGAACTCGGTGCACGGGGAGGTCCTGCTGCGCATCCACTACAAGACCCAGATTCCGGGCGGATCGACCTCGACGTCAAGCCCAACGAAGAGCTCAACGACGAGGCCATCGCAGCCTGCAAGTACGAACCTCGATATTCCTATGCGCGACTGCGCTGTGTGCGTGCATGCGTGTGCGGTGATGTGTGCGTGCATGCGTGTGGCGAGTGCGCTGTATGCGTGTGTGCGTGTGATGACGTGCGCGTGCGTGTGTCTGATGATTAAGCTCTATGGCATCGATGCAGGGCTGAGCGCGAGCGGCGGCAGCGCAAGAGGGAGAAGCATCGGTTCGCCGGTGAGCTGCACATTAAGACGCTCTACAATCCGCCGTTGGGCAACTGGGGCGGATACCTCACCATCACCGGTACGCGCTTCTGCCCCGTTCGTGATCAATAACGGCCAATCGGGTGTCTCACACGCATCCGACCTCTCCTTCCGACAGTCGTGGAGGCCCGCAAGCTGCTTGCGCTGGACTCGGGCGGAACCTCCGACCCGTACTGCGTGCTCTCCCTCAACGGAAAACGGTACATTCCCCCACACTCTGCTGTAATGCACAGAGAAAATGACCGGCGTCAGCTGACCACGCATTGCCCCCCCCCCCAATGGACAATGGCAGGTTCCGCACCAAGAAGGTCACCAACTCGCTGGACCCGACCTGGGGCGAGGTGCGCACTTGGACTCACACTGTCGTTGCTCGCCCCCACTCACATTCTCACACTATTTTATTTATATATATATGTGTAAATATTACACATATATGATATGCTGCAGACGTTCTACTATCACATACCGGCCGGCTCGGTGGAGGGGCTCGCCGTCGAAGTCGACGTGTACGACTGGGACGTCGTGGGTACGCCGGCCGTGTAGGTGTGAAGTGATTGTTGTCGACAGACTGGACCTAAGAATGGGACACAGGCAAGTCCGAGGCGATCGGAGACGCGAGCATCCGCGTGGAGGAGCTGAGCGAGGGCTTCGACGAGAAGTGGATCACCCTGGTGGCTCCCCCGCCCACGCAAGACGGGCTCGACAAGTACACTACATCGTCGCTCCCCACCACCATCACCATCACCACTTATGGTCCACTCTCGTCCGCAGGAAAATCGGCAGGCGAATGGCCGAGGAGGGCTGGGCGCCCAATCTGCCCATCATCCTGGTGCCCGGTGCGTATTATTTATTATTTACTTATCCATTTATTTATTTGTCTATTTATCTTATTATTTATTATTCATTCATTCATTTTATTTATTTATTTATTTCCTGGCATGATCAGGCTTCGGGTCGACGAGCTTGGAGGTGGTGGAGGGCTACGAGAAGTGGAAGGGCCAGCGGGTGTGGCTCTCCCTCTCCAAGATCAGCCGCGAGGCCCTCTCATTCCGGTCTGTCCGCCCTCTCCCACGACCGGGTCCAACCCAGTACACGTTCTCACCGCACACGTACCACCGCACACGCACATGCACACACTGCAGTCGCTTCACCCAGGGAAGAGCGACGCGAAGGCTGGATGTGAATGGCAAGACGATCACGGGCGACTTCGAGGCCATCGAGCTGGAGGAGGAGTGGGAGGACGCCGAGGCGCGTCTCGCCTCGCTCGGCATGTCGCTCGGGTCGTCGACGACGTCGATGGAGACCACCGCCGTCTCTGCTGTCGACCCGGCCGTCGAGCGGGCCTTCAAGAACCGCTGGATTCAGCACCTGTGCCTGCAGGAGGACGGCATCTCCGACCCCGAAGGTAACCCGCCGCCGACCCTGCGCCTCTTCAATCATCACGCTCACCTATTGCACGCACACGCACACACCCGACCGCACACGTGTATCGCACGCACACGCACACACGCACACACGTACCACCGCACACACACGTAATAATGGCACACGCACAGGTATCAAGGTGAGGCCGGTCAAGGGAGTAGAGGCGGTCACCTATCTCGACCCGGGCGCTCTCACAGCGCCGCTCTCCTACGTAAGCGTCCCCCTCTCCACTCAAGTTTCCCCCTGTCGGAGGAGGGAAGGAAAGTGGCCCTGACCCAGCCCGTCAACTGCGCAAAACAGGTGATGGGTCCGCTGGTCGAGAACCTCCAACAGCTCGGCTACGTCTACGGCGACAATCTCCTGGCCGCCGGCGTACGTGCCCCTCTTCTTGTGCCGTGTGGCGTGTGGCGTGTGGCGTGTGGCGTGTGGCGTGTGGCGTGTGCGTGTGCTCTCTGTGTGCGTGTGTGCGTGCGTGCGTTCATGACTGTGAGCTGATCGAGTGCGGGTGACTTTGGCGGATGTAGTACGATTGGCGTCTGCCGCTGCACCACCTCGAGGAGCGCGACGGCTATTTCACGCAGCTCAAGCAGGACATTCAGGACATGTGCGTTCGCAACAATTCGCCCGTGGTGCTCATGGGCCACAGCATGGGCAACCGCGTCATCCAGTACTTCCTCAACTGGGTGTGCCACACCGACCCCACCAACGGACGCAAGTGGATCTCCACCAATGGTACGCGCGGTGCGGTCGTGCGTGTGCGTTTGGGCGTGTGCGTGGAGCGACGACTGACGAGTGTGTCGGGCATGCAGTGCACACGTTCGTCGCCGTGGGTGCGCCGTGGCTGGGCGCCTCGAAGACAATTCGCGCCCTGGCGACGGGCGAGAAGTTCGGGCTCGACGCCTTCCTCACCGACGTCGAAGCCATCACCTTCGGCCACCGCATTTGTACCCCTCCCCTCCACGCATGCACACACACACACACACACACACACACACAATTCGCACGCACGCACGCACACACACACACACACGCACGCACGCACATACAACGCACACACTCCTGACACTCACCGCTTGTAACAATCAGCGTCGACCGCGTGCCTGCTCCCGGTGGGCTGCGAGAAGCTGCACCACCACCTCACGTCCGGCCTCGAGTCGTTCACGCACCTGGTACGCGTGTGCTCCACCACAGCGAGTCCCTATGTTAAATTCTCGTAGACCAGACAACAACTCATTCATGGGATTCCAGAACGACGCGGTGGACGCCTGCCCGAAGCCGATGCACTTCCGCGACTTCCTCACCTCCGAAGTCGCTGCTCACGTATGACTGCCCGCACACGCGCACGCACGCATCATCGCACGACACGCACACGACACACGACACACGACACACGCCTGCGCCGTGTGTGTGTGTGTGTGTGTGTGTGTGTGTGTGTGTGTGCAGGGGCCGATGATGTTCTATGAGGAGTACATGCGCAAGAATCCGCTCTTCGGAGGCGAGCACAAGGACGAATACATTCTCAAGCCTCCGCCTGTCGACCGCCTCTACGCCATCTACGGTACCGCCACGCACCGCACGCACACCTACATGCAAAGTCACTGACGCCACCGCACACGCACACGCACCACCGCACACGCACACAGGCGTCAACTTGGAGACGGAGATAGGCTACGTGTTCAAGCGCGACGCGGCCGGCTGCATTGTGTTGGACGACTCGATCTCCAAGGCGCAGCGGACCCAGCTTGAGTCCGAGGGCTTTGCCGTGAAGAAGGTGGGTCGCCCTTCCCCGCATATGTCCCCCTCCGCTCTTCTTGCCTTGCTTTTGGTGGGGCGGCCTGGGCTGGTCGTGTGCTGACTGATCCCTGCGACGCAGGGCATTGTGTGGGAGACCCCGCGCACCAAGCAAGGAATCGTGCGCGAGTTGACCGGCGTCGACGCTCACATCTGCGGTGACGGCACTGGTACGCCTCTCTCTCAGAAAGCTTGCGATTGATGTGTGTTGTTTGACACGGTTGTCGTCGCACACGCACGCACCGCACACGCACACACCGCACACACAGTGACGTACGCGTCGTTGAATCACTGCGCGCGCTGGCGCAATGAGATCCCGAAGCTCAAGATCGAAGAGCTCGAGGGAGCCGAACACAGGCAGGTCCTCGCCAACCGCCTCTTCTTCAAAAAGCTGATCGAGTACATCGCCGAACGGAACATTATCGGCAACCACTTCGATCTCGGTACGCGACCGACTCTTTTTCTTCGCTCACGACGCGCACGACACGAAGTGCTACGCTGGCTCACATCTTACACTCGCCCTGCAGGCAAGCTGGCGGGTCGGCTCAAGCTCCGCTCGGACCAGTTCCTGGGTCTCGACGACGTCAACGACGGCGACGAGATCGCCGAGGGCGGCTCGCCCAAGGCCCCGTCCCCCTGACCAGCCCAGAAGGAGGGGCGGACAGAAGTGTATTGAAAAAAGAAACAGACCAACTTGAAGAGGTGACTACAAGGAGCTCGCCAAGTCGCCGAGGCAAGACTTGATGTGTGAGAAGGAGGGCCGGTTGATGGGATGAAGTGAGCAGCACTGGTGCATGAGTGCGAGGTAGCCCGCAGGGACTGTGGGTAGGCGTCTGGGGAGGGGGAGAGGCGGGTACTCGTCGCGGACAACGCTCTTCGCCAGTTTTGGGGAGGGATGGTGCCTCATGACGACGCCGAATGAGTAGACGTCGGCCTTGCCAGCGTGCGGGGCGTAGCGTGCGTCGTCGCGCAACTCGGGGGCGAGCCACTCCGAGACGAACCCGTCGTCGTCACGAGCGTGGCCCTTGTCGCGAAGGAAGGACTTGACCCTGGTGAGCCCAAAGCCGGACACCCGAAATCGACCGTCCGCCGACGCCATGATGTTGTGCGACGACAAGTTCGTGTGTTCGATGCCTGTGGCCGCCGCTATGGTTATGGTGTGTGTGGTGTGTGGTGTGTGGTGTGTGGGGAGCTTGGGCAGGTTGTGGGTCACCACGACGGCCCTGCCGAACAGAGGCTCCCACCTGGGGCGCCTTGGTCGTAGTAGTAAGGCACGAAGCGGGGCGGAAGGCCCGGTTCGCCGTACTTGGCGGTTGCAACGACGCCAGCGAAATCGTCTGTTTGGGTCAGGGCCGCAAAGAGGGGGCGGACCAACATTGTCCCTTGATAGATGTGCGTGTTCGGTTGAGCCCCGGTTGGGGTCACCAGAGAGCAGGCGAAGAGGAGCGGCAACGGGGAGATCGACAAGGCTAAGAATGTTGAGAGATAAGGCAGCGCGCTTCGTGTGCCGATGGGGCGAGCGTAGAGAAGGAAGGTCTTTATTCAAATGAGGTACAACAAATGTCTCGCGGAAGGGGAAAGAAGAAGAGGAAAGAAGTAGTCTCAGCTTGAGGGGGAAGGAAGTGGTCCTCTCTAGAATAGAACTTAGAAGAGGACGGAGGTGATGAAGGGCGACAGGGTGGCGGCGCTCGAGCTCTCGCCCTCGACGCTCCACAGCGGGTCGTACTCGATGCTGTTGGCGGCCTGGAACTGCATCTGGATGTTGACGGCGCCGCTGCCCATGGTCGGGGTCACCTTCACGGCGGCCTGACCGTTGCTGTTGGCCGAGTCGGGGGCGAAGATGAGCGACGCGCCGTCGAAGAAGCGCAGCTCGGGGCTGTTCCACGACGCGGTCTTGCCCGGGGTGCCGATGCGCACGAAGAAGTTGAGCTTGTTGCCGGTGTCCTCCACGGGCCAGCCCGAGATGGTGTAGATGATCTCAATGCTGCCGGGCGCCACAGGGTAGGTCTGCGTAAAATGATGCGCGTGTGTGTGCGGTGAGTGTCGTGTCGTGTCGTGTTTCGGGTGTGTGTCGTGCTGTGAATGAAGAGGGCGCACCTTGGTGCCGTAGGTGATCTTGCCCTCGTCGTTGAAGACGTAGAAGCGGACGTTGACGTTGGCGGTGGTGGTGGCGTTACTGCCGGCGACGGCCACGTTGACGTTGCCCGAGAGGCTCACCACCGTCGAGTTGACGCCCTGGAACGTCTCCTGCTGCGGCGTGGTCGGGTCCTGCAATGTTCATGTGGCCATGTTGATGTTGTTGACGTTAGTTTGCAACATCGTCAAACTTGAGCGCAAAAGAAATGAACAACGTACGTTGAAGGTGAGATCGGCGAACGAGTTGACGGCGTTGACGACCCCACCATCGGCGGCCACCTCCTGGATCTTGGTGAAGGAGTGGGTGAAGATCCTGTTGGTGCCCGTCTCCCAAATCTTGACGCTGCCGCCTGTCGGGTTGAAGGTGGCGCTGATCTTGGCGCCGTTGAGCGTCACCGGCCCAGCCAGGGCGCTCGCCACAAGAAGGACCACGAAGGCTCCAATGCAAACCGCGATTCTCGACATCATCGTCTTGTAGTGTCTTCTTGCTGAAGCTTGAAAGAGAGGAGAGTGGTTGTTTGCTTTGTGGGTCTTGGTTGAGAGCTGGAGAAGATGTTGATGAAGTGAAGGTGCTGCTGGCGGCCCACTCTTTATACTTTGGTGTCCCGTGCCGCCTGGTGGCTCGGCCATTGGTCGCTGCAGGGCGCTGAAAACCGAGTGGCGGTGCACACAAGCCACCGACCAAAGAACACTCGCCGTCCGCGAAATTTCCGGGAGTGGTGGAAGGCGGCCATTGTGTAGCCATGGCCGACATGGGCTTCATGGTGTCCCTTCCACCCACATCCCCAGCGGCGCTGTATTGGTGGTGATGGTGATCGCTTCGAGAGCACAACTGCACCACACCGGTCACTTTGTGGCCCAAAAATACGGCCCAGACCAAGGTGATCGCGAACGTTGGCGAGGAAAAGTGAGCGGGTTGGCTCTGGGTGCTCTCTTTGTGTGTGTTTGTAAGCGGGGCGGCCAAGGTCCCGCCACAGTACATAGAACGATCGACCCTCGAGGCACCCCACAAGCCAGCATGACCGGTTCGATCCCCACCTTGTGATGACAAATTTGAAAAAAGGTGAACGAGGCCGCGAGCCGCGTTGGCAGTGTCACCAAAACTGTGAAGAATGGAGGCATCAGAGATCAATCGATTCGCACCGGCTCAGCAAAGGCTCAAGGCTACGGCCTCATACGGGCGTCATCTGGTACCTGGCTCACCGGCGGTAGCGAGGCTTACTCGACTAGTACCATTCATTGTCGTCGTCCTCCTCCTCGGCCTGTCGCTCAATCTCCCTCCGCTTGGCGTCGTCGAAGAAGCGCGAGGGCAGCAGACATTGTATGCAGTCCTGTTTGGTGGAAAGGGGGGCTCCTTAGCACCACAGGCGCACAACCGCTACTGAATTAATTAATGGACTGGGGGGGGGTGGAGGGGGGGAGCTAACCTCCGGCTGCAGCTGGCCGGAGATCATTTCGGCCAGCGACTTTCCCGCGGCGAAGCAGTTGGCCATGCCGTTGCCCGTGTAGCCCGCGCCGATGTACTGACCCGCGCGCACTCCTCCTGTCGTGCGCAAGTAAGACACAACACACTCACAACACAACACACAACACACACAACACACAACACACACAACACACAACACACAACACAACACACACACACTATCGGACCTTCGAGCGGGGCCAGTGGGGTGAGAGGGCCGACGAGCGGCGCCCCATCCTTGCTGTAGGCCATGATGCCCGTCCACTCGTGCTCGACCCGAAACGGAATCTTGCCCTCGCCCACGCCTTGGCCCTTTCAAGTGGTGCCGGCGCATGCGAGAGGGCCGGTGGTGAGCCAGCTACGCCCCATTCGCTGCAGTGCGCCCGTAGCAGTCGAGCGCGATGGTGGGAGGCTGGGTACCTTGTCCTCCTGCAGGCTGGGGAAGTTCTCTTCGAGGAACTCGTGGAGCTTCTCGCTGATCTCCCTCACACAGATCGAGTCGTCCAGCGTGTCCCTTTCCTAGCGGTGCGTGCGTGCGTGCGTGCGTGCGTGCGTGTGCCGTGTCGTGTGCGGTGTGCGTGCGTGGTGGGTGGGTGGTGGGTGTGTGTTGGTCGAGCTTTGACGAATGCGTAGTTGGAAGGGACGCACCTTGGTCGGCGTGACCCAGCGCATGCCACCCAATACGATCCGCCCGTCCTCTCGCTGGATCATGTACTGGAAGCCGTCATCGAACGCCTGCGATGCAGTGATTGTGGAATGTCAGCTATGCTTCACACGGCCCTGCTCACCCCAGAGATGAGATGAGAGGTGTGGGACGCAGCGCACCAAGTTACGCAGCCAGCGCAGCTGCGAGATGGGCGAAGTGATGAGGGCCTGTCCTCGCACCGGCACGATCAGCCCCGCCAGCGAGGGTACCAACGCGGGAGCCCTTCGGTGGAAAAACGTTACGTTACCCGATAGGTCAGCGCCGACAAAACGAAGCGCTGCGACGACCGTCATGAGGCGCGTACCATGCGTTGGTGGCGTGGACCACACACGAGGTGGTGACTTCGCCACCGTTGGCGGTTCGCAGGCGGTAGTGGTGCGGCTGGTCTTCCGTGATGTCGAGCACGGGCGTGTTGGTCATGATCTGGACGCCGCCCAGCTTCCTGGCCTCGCGGGCCAGGGCGTAGACGACCTTCGCCGGGTAGAAGGACGCCGCGGTGGGCTGGTAGAGCCCGCCCAGGAAGCTCGGCGAGTGCGCCTCCTGCCTTTGGATGCCAATGGCGACGATGATGATGATGGTGGTGGTCAACATATAGCACGACACGCACACGACACGCAACGAAAGCAAAGAAATGGCACACGCACTCGCATTTCTCTTTGTCCCACCACTCGAGGCCCAGGTCGGGATTGGTAGCCTTGACTTGCTCCATGTAGTCCTTCAAGAAGACGGCTTCCGACTCGTGTCGGGCGAGCTCGAGCTGCAGCAGAGCGAAAGCGTGTGAGTGGGCGCGTGAGTGTTGATTGTCAGCAGTCACGTCGGGGAGTGGGATGGTTGTTACGCAGCCGTGGCTGCAGAAATCGCACGAGACGTCGTGCGTGGCGATGAACTCCTTGATGAGCTCAAAGTTCTGCTTCTTGAACTCGGACAGCCTCGCTTCCTCTTCCTGTTGGCCAAGAGGTGGTGCGTGGTGAGCGAGGCGGCCAAGAAGAGCGC